ATTTCCATATTTCACACGAATTTCAAACAATGAAAATAACAAAACAAGATGTGTTTCAATAATTTTACTTTCGGTATTTTGTTTCTGTTTGAAATTTTAACTTTTCGACATTTTTACGTTCTACAATTTTATTTTCGGCATTCTTCTTTCGACATAAATTGAGTGAATGAAAGCTAATGCATGCATTTACAAAGAGTGTACACTTTGTACGCATAGAAATACAAACACGCATATTTAAGCTATCGATAAAAATCAATCACAATGGATATGTTGAATAGGTTAGAAGCAGATACACTGGAAATCGTTTATTTCTTGGATCCACGAGTCACTCATAATCCTTTCATAAGGTCCTAGATCAAAAAATCAGATGTAACACCTTGTATGATTAAGCGAAAGCGTACAAAAAATCGTCGTCCCTGAAATCTTACAGTAAAACATAGTATAAGATGCTGGCAAGATCTTACGATTTTCTATAATCTCACTGTGATATCTTACAAGGTAGCAGGATCTTGCAAGAATCTTGTAATACGAAGTAACTGAAGATTTCAGGAACGACGATTTTCCGTACGTTTTTTCATCTGATTTTATAAGATCATATAAGAAGAGAGGGTATGATCTTGTAAGATCTTACCGGCTGATTTTTCGACTTTGTATTTTGTGGGTGGTTTCCAATCTGATTGTATATTTTTTTTTGTTCATAGTCATAGATTGAATTGAGTAGTTTAAATTCTATCGATCAGGTAACCCTGCCTATGATGATTTTCAGTTTTCTATCATATACCGATACAAATAGAAGCTTTACTATGCTTGTCTAAGTGTTGATCATAACATGAATGATTAATTTTCCATAGAATATCGAATAGAAATTTATATTTTATTTATTTTCATATGTATAAAAAAAATAATAATCACCGTGGTTATGAGTGTTAAAGAACACTCAATACAATATAAACGAAAAATGGAATACAAAACGAAGGTGTTACATTAACCCTAGTACCACCAGCCTGGTCTCTTTTGTTACTTATACAATATATTTAATATTTTTATTTTGTTCGAAAGAACATGTCAGGATGCAGAGTATGACCAAGCTCTTCTTAATTTAATTCAGATACGTGTACTATTCGATGATGGAAATCGCAAGCTATCTGTATTTTGATTGCATAATTTGTTGGACTTTTTGAATGATAATACGCTTTACGTTGGTCTGAATCATAAGGTTCAGAAATTGCAATAAAAGTCGAATCAACTATTAATTTATGATGTCGTTCTGGTCCATGTCTGTTAGAAAATAATTTACTGTTGATCGACCCAAATTTATCTCTGTAGAAATATATTGTTCAGAATGATAATGTTTTAAATACGATAATGTAACCGCAAGTAAATTGATATGAGAAAGATATGGTGTTATGATATCGTCTTTATGTTTTTCTTTTCTATGAGATTAATAACGTATAAGAGATTCTTCGCACATAGAATATAGTTTTTGTATTTGTTCAATATCATGCCCTGTCTGTTGTATGCATGATTCATCTGTACGTGTCCATTCTGACCATGGACGTTGTTCTAAAATAAAAGAATAAGAGATATGTGTGTAAACTGAGAAGATCAATGTCATTTACCATCATTCAAAGCTTGGAATTGTTGATGAATAGTAGCTCGCTTCTCTTCCATTTCTTGTTGCCTTTCGTCTTCAAGTTCTGGTGTACAATAATCACAACTGTCTCGGTGGCAATAGTGGTTCGTGTATAAATCCGATTCGCCTGAGCCAATGCATCTCCAAGTCAACATTGAGTGGCAATCAATACAATATTTTCATCGATCAGCTACTGAAGATCGACATTGAGAGCAATTCCATTCAATTTGCGGAGAGAGCATAATACGAGGATAGGAGGTGTTTATTATCAAGTGAAAGTGTATTAAGAACAAATAAAGAATGAAGAAATGCGCGAAAAAATCACAGTTAAGACGAGAATAGTATGACTATAGTAAACTGACAACAGAATGGACAAAATATTGTCGTACACGAAGTACACACCGAGAGAAAGATATATACTACTATGCTGTAAAATACGTCCTAGATAATGGTTATATAAATATATTTCAAAACTCTTCTTTTCTAGTGGCATATAGACCTCGGACAATGGCAAATCATTAGCACTATATATGTACTATATATGGGGAAAATTTCACGTTTTTCTACTAAATAATTGTAGTTAAATGAATGGGGTATCAACACGACTGGTCATGCCCATATATATGTTTTCTTTTAAGTGCACATAGAGCGTGTACAGTGTGATATATGTACGTGTGTGTGAGGACATTTTTTGATTTTGAGAATAAATAAAGGAAAAAGTCGAACATCAGACCTCTAATACTCAGAATTTTGAGAATATTTCTTCCAGTTTTCATTGTTCAGACCTGAATTTTTAAAGATTCGTCTTTTAATACTCTATAAAACGATGTTCTTTTATTAATGTAAGAAACAAGCATTCTTTTTTTGACAGACGATACAATTGAGCAATCCAAAATGAGCAGCTTTCAAAGACAATTTCGGGTCGAATTTTTGTGATAGACTTTTTGAGTTCTTCAACCAACATCTTCTTTGATGTTGCTTTGTTTCACTAGATGCATGAACAAGCTCTTCCTATATCGAATAATCGAGAGGGTTTAGATCGAGACTAGTTGGCGGTCAATGATCTTTTTCAATGAATGATGTAAAATTGTCCTAATGGGCTAAGTTTTTTCTGAAGGATTCTTCGTTTGATGCTCTGCAACAACAGTGTTTGATTTTTAAGTCACTTATATGCTTCAATTTTAAGATTGTGAAAAGCAAAGATATTCAGAAAATTGTTTCTTCAAAGTACGAAACAGGTGAGCATTCAACGCATATATTTCATAACTTGAACAATGCTCTAGACCTTCGTACGATCAAACGATGGTACAGAATGATCCGCGACACTGGATCTATACAACTCGCGAGTCCGCCAGGCTGTCTACATATTGTTCAAAAAAAGAGAACAATCAAGAAGGTCCAACACCTACTGCAGCGAAAGAAACCAATATCAACTCGAAAATCGGTGAGTGAATTGAGTATTTTGAGAATAAGTATGCAGCGAACACTCAAAAGTGATATGGATCTTCAACCCTGCAAAAAATATCCGAACCACTGCGCACTGACGAGCACAAAGAGAAACGAAGAAAGTTTGATAACTGGGTCCAAACAAATTTACGAAAGGAAGAGACAATGCAAATTGTCTTTTTTGATAAGAAAATATTTCGACATTGACGACGTTTATAAGATCTATAACAATCTGGTGCGGGCAGTGAATCGTGCTGTAGCGAACGAGAAAGATGCCATGATACAGACGCGAAAATGTCTCCAAAATATTATGGTTTGCTTCGGAGTGAGTTTCAAGGAAGTCTTATCATTAATTATCTTTGAAGACGGTTCAATAAACCATGCTCGATATATACAGGAGGTGCTTCCTGTGGAACTGAAATATGGCAACAAGGTCTGCGGAAACTATTGTATTTCTCAACAAAATGTTGCAAAACCACATATTCACCATTTCACGCATTCATACTGTCGGAACAATTTTGCATCATTCATTGATAAAGATTATTGGCCGTCAAATAGTCTCGATATAAACCCTTTGAATTATTCGATATAGGATGAGAATGGAAATTGAAAGAAATATTCCCAAAATTTTGAGGTATCATTTACTCTGCTCCACTTAATACTAATCATATAAGACCATCAATTGCACATATAGAATAACATCATCAGCAGAATAAATAGACATAACCAACTAATATCTGTTTCAGAGTTAAATAGACGTAGGCATTTTTCCGATAAGTTTAAACCAAAAAAGAGAAATTACTTGGGTTTACAATACTATCTAGAGTCGACATTACTGCATCTCTTTAGGTTTGCACTCCGGCATGCTCTCTCCACATTCGTATCTAAGCAATTTCGGGATTTCGCTCCCTTGAAATACTAGAGGTCGTTTAAGAGTGCAACTATATGTAAGACACTTTTCGCTGAAAAGCGAAAAAATATTTAGAATATAGATTTTTTGATTATGGTAATCAACATGAAAATACTTATTTTGGTATTACATTATAATTTTGTATTGAGCTAATAAGCGTAAGCACACAATAATGCTTATTTTCGAGTTCCTTTGAGAAAGAAAATCTGTTTCTCTTACAATTTGCTGGATCCTATTGTCTTTCTGTTTTTCATCGGTCTATTATGACAACAGAGCTTGTATTGCCCACTCACAAAATAAACCGGATTATAAAATTTACGAATACAAAAATTGCTATTCCACATTTTCCTGATCATCATCAGAATCTGTTTCTCCAGTGTCAGGTTGTATATGAAGTTCGATTTCCTGTTCCATAATTGCATCTGCTGCTTTAAACATTTCTTCAACTCCACGAACATGATGAAAATATGACTTGCACGTTCATCGTCGATCGCCACCATAAACTGCTCAATCAATTGTTTTACATCATTCTGACGAAATGTTGTGTTTTGGTCACGAACAAACTGTTTGAGATTATTCCATGACAGTTCAATTGGATTAAGGCTACAGTGTAGTTTAGGAAGACGAAAGATTTCTACAGCATATTTCTCTGCAATACGATCACTCTATTCAACAAAACAAAGAGAAAAAGGAAGGTTTGCAAAACTCAAAATAAGTCTTAAAAAACTGACTTACAACATATTCTTTTGGTGGATACTTTGCACACACCAGTTGTAACAATTGAGCTTCAACAAACTTTTCTGGAAAATTAATTTTTCAATCTTTAAGCTATTTTTGAATTTCTCCTTTTGTTGAAGTACATTTTGGAATGACTGATTCTTCCGTGAGTTTATTGTGCCAAGTTGCATTATCCAGACAAATAGCAATTCATTCTTTTTCACCTATGAAGAAAGTGTAAGAAATCATTCATGGAAAATTCGACTCAGAATGCAACAACTCACCAATCTCCTCTCATAATGTTGCACAAGTTGAATCTAACCACAAGAGAAAACATGTTGAATCCATATGATGCTCTTCAGTGCACGTCCAAATATCAACTGATGGAAAATGATAACCCTTGATATTTATAAGTGCTGATACTGCCAAACGAGATCCTATAAACGAGAGAAATAATGATATGTGAGAAGATGATTTATGAATGATGTCGCGGCTTACCTTTTTCTCCGCCTTTTTTTATTGCTCCTTTGCCCTCTAGAGTCCAAATTGATCTTTTAACCTCTCGAAGATTCAACCACGTTTCATCGTGATAATACAAATGAACGTGTGCTTCTCTTAGTTCTTCAAGAGTCTGAAAATACTTTGCTTTTGCTGCCACAAAAGCCTGTGAATCTAACATAACTTTTATCGTTGATGTTCGTTGATAAATGAAACCAAGCTAAGAAATGAAAAAAGCGGTATAATGTTTTTCCTTTCTTCTTGTCTATGTTAGACCAAACATTTCACTTACATTTCTCATTTTTTTGCGTAACGTGCTTGTCGAACGAATAGAAAAATCTTTATATTGCTCCTTCTATCTTTTCAATAATTTGTCAGAGGTTGGATACACTTTTTCTTGAATTAATTTATGGAATTCAAGCCTAATTAAATCTTTTCCTTGCTCTGATAAAATTATGTTTCTTCTGAGAAGGTAATGCCTGAGGAATAAGAAGATCGATCTGACTTGTTGATGAAGAGGCAGAAAAGACAGTATGCCGACGACAAAGAATTTTAGCTGGTGGAATAGACGTTGAAGATTCACGATGTTTGGGTGTCACTAATGATATGGTACGACTACGAAGATTTCTAACATTTGTATCTGCTTCGTCTTTCTCTTCTGTCTGTTGCTGTTGTGGTTGTTCCATTATTGCTTTCTGTCTTAAGTGCTGTAATTCATGCTTTAATCTGTGGACAGATCTTTCAGAAATATTTAATATTTTAACAAGACAATCGTTCACATTGTAGAGGGGAACGACTGGATCATTTTTCTCGCTTTCAACTAAATTAATAATGTGAAACATTAATTGTTTTACTTCTTGCGAAAATTCATGGCCTTTCGGCATTACGAATAAAGAAATTGTCTAAAACAGATACTGTATATATTTCGAAAAAAACGAAAGACAAATAACCAAGAGAATTATTAGGTATATATGTGTACATATATCTTTTCTTCCTTTCTTTTTTTTCATCCTGGCGCTACACGCTGGCATACTCATGCACAGAGAGAGATCAAACATTTTAAGCCCTCGATTTTAAAGAAAATAAACCCTTTCATGTTGATTAGCATAGTCAAAAAATCTATATCCTAAATATTTTTTCGCTTCTCAGCAAAAAGTGTCTTACATATAGTTGCACTCTTAAACGACCTCTAGTATTTTAAGGAAGCAAAATCCTGAAATTGCTTAGATACGAATGCGGAGAGGGCATGCCGGGGTACAAATCTAGTGGAAAAAATTCCCTCAAAAAGATTCGTAAATTTGCCCTTAAGTTCGTCGACTAAGACTGGTCTGAAAAAGTACTTCGAGAGACCATTTTCACACATAGATATGTGCCCCCAACTGTCACTTACTGAACACTGAAAACTGCAAGTCGCTATGACCTTCCATTCAAAAGTTATAAGCCTTTCTTCCACCTACCTTCTTTAAAAATTCCGATAGTAGTTGATCGGTTTCTGAAGTTTCTCCTGATATTGATCCGTAATTTTTCACCGTCACTTATGATTAAGAGTGAAGATAAATCGACCAATCAGGTTTTATCCATTCACTAGGCCTTATCGTCTAAATGTACTCTCAAGCCATAAACAAATGAGCATTTCAGGAAGTTGACTCATCAGTTTATTAAAGTTTGCAGCTTTTTTCTACTACAGATACCATTGTAAAAGAGTTTCCCCCTTTTCTAGACGTTCTTTCAGTACGATTCCAACTTTTTGTCTACGTCAGACACATATTTAAATGATACCTTACCAACAAATCGAGTAAGTTAAACCTGTATAACATTTTTACTCGAAAGTTAATAAATATATTTTTTCTTTCTAGAAAGCACAAACTCAACCCAGCATTATTTTAATAATTAAGCAAACTCCAAGGACATTATTCTAACCTATTTCGAATTATAGTTTATTTCTTATTTTTAGTTAGTCTTCTTTTCTTCCTTGATTCTATTTATTTAATATTTATATATTTTCATTTTTTCTCCATTTTTTTTCATTTTTTTGTAGTATTTATTAGTCTTCAATAAAATTTGATAATCAACAACTCTTTTTTTGTATAATCTAAAGCGCACATAGCGCAAGAGAAAGACAGAAGAAGAATAAAAAAGCAACGAAAGAAACAAAAACAAGAATTAAAAAATGCAGACTAAATATTATATTAAGATTGTATTAAATTTACTTGCCGTTAGGCATTCAAGAATTCTTTTATTTCATGGGAAAGTTTTAGAAGAGCTGCTTCTACTTAAGAGGAATGAGACATCGTCTTTTTGAATTGTGATGAGTAGATATTTTTTTGCTATTGTTCTCATTATTCCTCTATAAATAACATATTTGAGATAGAGAATATGAAAAGCTACGCAATTTTTATTCATACAGTAGACAGCTGTTGGATTCAGGTGAAACAGATATAACTCTTGTTGATCATAATACGTCGTTGAAAAGGAGAGGGAGAGAGAAGATTATTTCGGTAAGCTCGATTACTCATCGAATTGCTTGTGTTTGAGCTTAGACAAATAGCTATAATTAGTATTAATGGTTAGTGCTGGATAGAGAGAAAGAGTGAGAGAACAACCCTAAATGTAATGTTTGTATGTAATGTTGGTAAACAATCTAATATGTGATGTTTAGAATGCATCAGCCATCAATATAAAAAAGCAAGACATGTATAATAAAAATAAAAATAAAGGACGGAAAATTAATATATCAAAAATCTATCGATGCTATGCACACCAAGTTTTATTCAATTCTATCACAACTCAAGATAATTGACTGAGAAAGAAAATTGTTTTTCTTGCGAATAATAGTCATAGTAGAAGAAAATTTGCTTAGATGATTCTAATGAAGAGATTGATTAGCTTTGTTCTTTCATTTATTTAATTCCCATATCACGACAAATTAAATGAATCGGCTTATCTCCTTTTTTATTTATCAAATAGACACATTCAGATGAAAAACAGATAAATTCCACTTTTATTTCGGTTTTTCGAAGACACTTATAATTTATTTTCTCTATAATAACATATGAAATTGATTGAGTCTATGTAAGAGCTATGATTTTAATCAAACTTTGAAGAACATAACGATGTTTTAGTATTACTCTTTTTATTGAAAAAAACTTCTGTACTGTAGAAAATGAAACCGTTATTATCGATGAAAAACAAAACATGTACATATCGATTTATTCTCTATACACACATGTAGGTAACACGAGAAGGAAAAGAAAAAGAAATGAGACAAAAAAAAGAAGAAATCAAAATCAAATTAAATAGAGCTTAAAAAAATTAATATTACAACACGAGAAGATAATATAACAAGAAAAGCTAATCTAACCTAACAGAACAAGACACATACACACATGTGATATCAATAAAAGAAATTTAGTATTGATATCTTTGATATAATGTGTATTACAAGTTGGTGATGATGTTTATTTTATGCTGAACGAACAAAATTATCGATCGGCTTGTGCATGTGGTATTTCTTTTTCTGTTTCTTTTTTTCTTTTTTGTCTTGCTGTTCTTCTTCATAATACTAAAAGAGAACAATAGAGAGAAAGGGAGAGCCTATTATAATGATAGGTAGCAAGTATATGATAAAAGAGAATAATAAGTGACTCACACATGTGCAACTTTTGCCTAATATTAATGAGAGAGAAAAAGACACAGTAATGACTCACCTCTCTCTCCATTTGCATACACACATATTAAGGAGATCTCAGAAGTTCTGAAATCATTTTAAAACTCATCATTTTTATATAGAATAAGAGCATACTTTTCGAAACTTTGATAAATTATTCTATCTACTTAGTACTAAAATAACTATGAAGTTTAATACGAGTCCCCTCTACTATGACAAAGAAATTATAACAACATTATCATGTATTATTTTACTGTTTATTATATAGCTATATCATGGTGAAAATGTATTACAATAAATCACTCAATGGAACAAATAAAAATAATCGAACTAAATATGAAAGGATGTAAAATAAAATAAATGTATGATATTTCGATGTTTTCTCCTTGTAGCATCATCAGATATGTGTTGAACAATTAAATACAATAATGATAAATAATTTAACTATTTCTTCATTCACGTAAAATCAATGAAGATAAAACAAAAAAAAAGGAATTTTTCTTTTTTGTCATTCATATCTAAGTTTATATTTAAAGAAACCGAAGCAATAATAACAAGTAAAGAGATTAAAGAAAAAAAGCAAAAATGACGAAAGAAATATGCCGAACCATGGACATAGCTAAAAGAGAAGAGTAAGTTCCTTTTATCAAATTATTATCGTCATTTGAGAGATAATCAAAAGTGCACATTAATGAAAAAACTTAGAGGTTTGAAAATCAATGATGAACAACAAGAACAAATAAATGACGATTCAGGTACTTCAACTACAGCAAGGTTGCTCTTCTTGCCTTCACAACCTCTACATCAACAACCCTTAACAGAAACAGTAGCAGTAGCTATTTTTTTGAATGATTCAACAAATAAACCAACAACAAAACCAAAACAAGGAAAAAGAAATAACAAACGTTTGGCAGAAAATTATGTCGATACTTCTTATGATAGTAAGAGAACTAAAATTTAACTTTTTTTTGTTGAAAAAAACTATGAAATTTTTGTATAAACACATTATTGTTCTTTTATTGTTATTCGACTTTCACTTTTTCATTTTTATTCTTGAAACTGTATTTTATCATAATATATGTGTTGATGATTCATTTCTAAAATACTGAAAAGGAACAATTATAAGCGTTTCATTTTTTTTATTCACTGCGACGTAAGGTAAAAAAAAGGAGAAAAATTTGTTATGTATAACATCATGAAAGGCCTTGAAGGTTTTCTCAAAAAAGATTAAATTTAAGAACACTTCTTAGTTCATGAGGATGAAGGAAAAAAGTGAACTTTTACGTGTTCTTTGCAGTTTTTCTAAGAAAGCGAGAAATTGATATTTATGATGTACATTGCAAAATGAATAAAACAAGCCTCGTCTTAGTTCTCAGGTCAAGATTTGTTAGAGCATACAGATTTTATTTAACTAGAATAGTTGCAGATCTTCAAAAATCTTTTAAAATTTTGCAATATGTTTTTTCCCATTTGTCTTCGCTCCAGTGAACAGAGTAAAACACATACCAATGCGTGTACAATGAGGTTAGACTTGGTTCTCAAGTAGATATTTACTAGATCATGCATATTTTCTTTAATTGCCGTATTTAGAAATCTTTGGAAATCTTTGAGAATCTTTGGGAATCTTTGGGAATCTTGAAATCTTGAAATCTGCTTTTCCCCCCTTGAACTATACTCACTCTCACCTTCACTCTCATCATCTCGCTCTCATCTTCACTCTCAGCATCACCCTTGCATTCTAGACTTTATAGTTTCGAGATTTTTTCGAGATTTTGCCGCACTATCCATCAAACTACTTTAAATTATCCCATGTTAATAGAAGAAAGAGGCGTGCACTGGAGTATCGAAATGAATACGCATGGATATTCTTATTAATTATGGTGAATATGTAGGGTATTGCTATCAGGACATCTGTGACCCAATTTTATATTCATGTATGATATTTTTTTTTCTTGATTATTTTATTTCAAATGCAGCCTCAGCTTCATCCATCAGAAAAAAACAAAAAATGCATGTGTG